TCAGTGAGTCCTCAAGGATCTTCCACCCCAAGCTCACTTACATGTGCAATATAAGTTCAAAAGCAGTTTATCATTTATCATTTCTAAAATAATGCAATGCAGCAGATAATCATGCCATGTGTGTTAATACTAATCTACTGGCCAGAGACAGTGCAGGTATACGTCTATCACCTACACACCGTGCAAGTGGAACCACAACATGGCTAAACCGAGGACACGAAAGCTTACCTCTAAGCTAGCTATCCAATGCCACAAGCTCAAAGTCCAATCACAGCAGATCACAATCTGATATGGACCAAATATAAATCAATAACATGTACCACATGCATACAAATTAAAGACAACACCTTTTCATTACGCTTTACGTCTTAAGGCTTCTCACCAAGCCATAAGCCCTTAATCACTTGATTCTGACTTAGTTTAACTAAAACAGAAGTTCAACTTCACCAATCTAGGGTCCACAAACCCCTAATAGCCTACTGTTCTCACCGCACAGCTACTGTTCTTCGAAATCCCAGAATATCTGGATATTCCTCGGGACCATATCCGGATATTCAATATCCGGATATCTCACTGTGCATATCCGGATATCCAATATCCGGATATCCAGAATCCCATATCCGGATATCACATATCCGGATATTGCTCGGGCACATATCCAGATATTTCACGACCGAATGCAGAAACTGCATTCCGTGAAGATATCCTTCCAAGGATGGATTTTTACCAATTTTAAACACCTAAACATACATTTCTAGGTGTGTTTGACATTACCCAATGTTAAGTTATCATCTTTTAACCTTTACATGCATCAAGGTTCCATTTTTAAGCATTAAACTCATGATCAAAGGTTGGTATACATACCAAAGGCTTAAAACAGAGAATGGAGGTGCTCTTGGAGCTCAACACAGCCCCTCAAGTCTGACTCAAAGATGTGCACGAAAATAGCACCATAAAGGTTGGTTCCTTAGAGCAAAGTTCCCCACTTGGACCTCCAAAAACCAAAGCCAAGCTTCTCACAACCAAGCCAACCAAGTCAGCCCCAAAACCTCTCACCAACAGTGGTTGAGCACTCCCCCAAGCCCACTCTCCACACTCACAAGTCACCACCCAAGTGTATACAAGAAGAAAGGGTGAAGAAAACCAATAAAGGTCACAACTTGGCTCAAGAATGAGGGAGAAGGCCAAAGGAACAGAAACTGGTCAGCCTCCACCAACAACTCACGCTCAAAGTCTGGTATCTAGGGCTTTGTGCCCTTTAAAAGGAGTATATATAGCCCAAACGCACTTAAACACACAGTATTAACTTTAATTGCTACGCTTAGCATTTTAATCCCAAAATTTGGATTATGAAACTACATAATTTTCTAAGATTTATCATATTTTTCTTATAATTTTCTGAGCACCTTTCCGGTACGCGCTTTTCCAAGCCAGTATCGGTTTTTAGCACCAGTTCTCATTATCTGGACTTAAAACTCGTTTTACAAGTCCTACATATTATTCTAGTAATTAACATGCACTTACTTTAATTTTCTGGGACACTTTTTTGGTACTCATTTATACCGACTAGCAGAGCCGGTATCTGCACTTTTCTTCCGAAAAGCGACTTTCAGCATTATTACTCACTTACTATAATTATTAAAGCCTCATAATAATTATTAGGGTCAATTATGGAATCATTTCCTAATTTTGCATATTTTATTAATTAAATTCCTTAATTAACGGTGCGGGTTCTTACATTCACCCCACCTTTTTAGGATTTTGACCTCAAAATCAGAAACATACCTGGTCGAAACTCGGGGTACTGCGGGAGAAGCTCGTCCTCACGCTCCAAGTACACTCCTCAGGAGTCCTTCCGGTCCACTGCACCTTGACCATCGGAATGATCCTGCTCCTCAGCTGCTTCTCGCCACGATCGAGAATCTTTAGTGGTCCGACGGGAGTCTTTAGGTTCTCCCGAACCTCCACATCATCCGGTTGCATCACATGCGACAGATCTGCTATGTACCTCCGAAGATGAGACACGTGAAACACGTCGTGGATGTTGGCCAGGTTCGGAGGCAAGGCAAGCCGGTAGGCAACAGGTCCTACTCTACCAAGAATCTGGTATGGCCCAATAAAACGCGGGCTCATCTTTCTCACTCCGAGTGCCCATCCAACACCCGTGACAGGTGAAAGTCTTACAAACACGTGCTCACCCTCACTGAACTCCAGTGGTCGATCCTTGACATCGTAGTAGCTCTTCTGACGATTCTGCGCCTGCTTCAGCTTTTTCCTGATCATCTGGATCTGCAGGGTGGTATCTTGGACAAAGTCCAAGCCAAACAACTCACGATCCCCAACCTCCGACTTGCAGGTAGGTGTACGACACCTCCTACCGTAGAGCGCCTCGTAGGGTGCCATGCCCAGGCTAGCATGGAAACTGTTGTTATAAGAAAACTCTACCAATGGAAGGTACCTATCCCATGCTGAGCCCTGCTCCAACGTGCAAGCCCGCAACATATCCTCCAAGGTCTGGATAGTCCGCTCAGTCTGTCCATCAGTCTGAGGGTGATAGGTTGTACTCAGTCTCAACTGCGTACCAAAAGCTCCCTGCAGCGCCTCCCAGAACCGAGATGTGAACTTCGGGTCCCTATCATTGATGATACTCACGGGCACCCCGTGAAGCCTCATAATCTCGCGAACATACAGTTTGGCCAACTGTTCTGTAGTGAAGCTCACCTTCACTGGAAGAAAATGGGCAGACTTCGTCAGTTTGTCCACAATGACTCATATCGAGTCACAGCCAACTTGAGTCTTCGGCAGACCCACAACGAAGTCCATGGAAATGCTCTCCCATTTCCACTCCGGAATCTCAAGAGGTTGAAGTTTACCAGACGGCTTCTGGTGTTCAAATCATCATTGTCGAAATCAGCATCTCAGGCAAGTTGGCTGTCATCAGGAACCAGTGAAGGGTTGGCAGCTCCAGCTTACCTTCATGGACCACAGAGTCTACTTTGAACATAGGCTTACCCATTAACGAATAGCCTTAGAGAGGCCACCCCTCTCCACTAATCAACCAGAATACTACCTCATGAAGGACAATGATAAACACGATGCTCAGGCACTATAAGAGGCCATTAGCCCATGTATGATATATCTCTTTGAATACTTAAACCTCCTTGGATATAAAACTGACTTGAGCATCGGAATGCCTTTGCAAGTACCCCCAGTCGCTTTCATACAACCCAGTGAAGCACAAACACAACCCAACCAACTCACAACACAATATAACATCTCGCTTAACTCTCAAACTCCAAGCATCTGGTGGACAACATAATCTCTTCCTTTTCTTCATCAGCATCCTCCGTCTTTAATCGTCTATGGTTATGCCTATCTCATTTGGTGTTGGACTGATAAGGAATAAATGGCAAAAATTTAATTAACCTAATTACATATTAAATTATAGAAGTTACAAAAGTTAAACCTTAGTAGGAAAAAATCATATGGGAAAAAAATGCAACAAATATTTTACTCCCCTTAATGATAACATCATTTAATATCTCTTAGTCTGCGAATCTCGGTCAATCATATATATCATATTCTCAAAACTTAAATATGTGATATCTTAGTAAATAAATCTGTCAAATTATCTCTTGAATAAATTTGTTGAACACCAAGAGATAATTATGCTTCCACTTGTGAACAAAATTCTATTTGGGATCTAGCTTTATGTGGATCAAGTAGATATCCTACATTATTCCAGTATTTTTGTGGTGGAGAATAATTAAATCATGCTAATAGGCTTACACTAAAACCTCTTATTTCACTAAAATCATATTTTATTATTCTGAATACTTTTTTTAATATGTTCAAAATTTAATAATTATATCAAATATTGAAATTTACACATTTAATAACAACATTTTTCAAATTAATTATTTGAGCTAATGATTAAATTATCTCTTATTATTAACATTATAAAAAACTTATTCATTTTAAATCTATTCTTTATTGATGTAGGAGTGCATTATTCTCTCTTTCCATCTGGGGAGCAACCTTGAGCTATATGATGAAAATAAAATTAATAAGGGATTTATTGCAGATACAAGTTTCACGGGGCTCATAATTTAAAAAAAAAATAAAAAATAGATGACCTCGGAAGTGTATGCAACAAATTGATTTTTTTATCATGTAACATGATAGTAACTTTGCCCAATTAATAATTATAGAGTGTAAATATAAATATTTTTTCTTAAAATAAGTGAATATCTATTACAATTTTTAAATATAATGTTAATAATGTCGAAGTCGATTTAACACTCTTGCATATTATTTATTTAAGAATATGTTACATGCTTTGCTGCCATTGGTATTGCCTAATTCAAATCGAATTGATTGGATAATTAATAAAATAATGAAGAATTAAAAAAAAAAAAAAAGAATATGTTACATAAGATGAATTTAGTCGATGTTCAAAGTTTAATATATTTTTAGCAACATGAGAAGATCATATGATGACAAATACATAAAAGTGATGTCCAAAATTTGTGTTTGTGTTTTTTATTTTTCTTATAATATAACATTAACATCATAACATGCTGATGAATAATAATTTTTTTATATTGCAATTAGGGAGTGTTTGGGCCAAGTTAGGCAAACCTTAACCAATTAACATTTTTTGTCTGACTAAGTAGTTAAGTTAATAAACAAATGATATATTATCATTATTATTAGGAAAAAGTGTTTGCCATTTTAAATGACATAACACTCTGTCTTTTTAAGAGAGAGACAGATACAGAAAAAAAAATTATTTAAATTTTAAATTAAAAAAATCATCCACTTTCTCTCTCTCATGATTTTCATTTTCTGTGTCTATCTCTCTCCTAAAATAACATAACTTATATCATTTAAAATGACAAACAACAGACCCTATTATTATTTGGTAGTTAATGCATTATCATTTTATTTATATTAAATGCTTACACAAGATAAATAAACAAACCTTGGTGCGACCGAATCCTAAAGTGCGTGTGAGTGAGTGAGAGAGAGAGAGAGAATGGAAGCGCTAAAAGTGTGGAATCTAACGTTGCATCCATTCAAGCACTTGTTTCACTCCTCTAACGCATTTCGTCAAACAACTCGAAGGCTTGTTCTCCGTTCCTGCTCTTCTTCAACCACCACCTCCGCCGCATCCGCCAGTCGCAACCGGCGGAGCTCTTCGTCGTCCTCGACGACTTCAACTTCAGATAGGGAGGCCATTCGAGCCATTCGCTTGAAGAAGGTATATGACTGACTTCCATTGTGAATGTGTCGTGAGATGTTTGATTCACATTGTGGTTTGTTCTTTTTTCCTTTTACTTGGTGTATTTATATGTGTGGTGAAGGATGAATTTCAGCTGAATTATAGTTGAGTTTGGATATGAAACTTCCAAACTATGAGATTTTTCATTGAACTTCAGTATTTGGAAATTCGTTTTGGGGGAAAATGAGAATCGCATGCCTTTCTTTTACTTTTTTTTTTAGAAAAAAAATTTTTTGCTTAATTTTATTGGGTAACTTTTTTTTTTTACTAGCGGTTGTGATGGAAAATTGAATGCGAAGTTATATGTTGTCAAGCATAGTTACTTGGGATTAGAAGCCCCTTTTCTTCAATTATGGATAATTTGGACAACGTGAACTTGTCAGAGGGCTAATAAACTAATGGACTTTAGTTTGAGATTGTCTTCTCATTTGAAGAAAAACTCATTATTTTTTACTACCCTTTTTTGTGGTTGTTTTGCAGGTTGAAGAGTTGAGAAGCAAGGGGCTAGATCCATATGCTTATGGTTGGGACAAAACTCACAGTGCTAATCAGCTGCAAGATATATATAGAAATTTAGGAAATGGCGAGGAAAGAAGTAGTGAGAATGATCACGTATCTGTCGCGGGAAGAATTGTTGCTAGGAGGGCATTTGGAAAGCTTGCCTTTTTGACACTAAGAGATGATTCTGGGACAATCCAGGTTTTTTTTTTCTTTCTAATTTTTCTAATTTTTTTTTTACACTTTTTGTTGCTCTTTGTGTATTTGTTGTAACTTTGAACTAAGACATGTCAGGCTTTTGTTAAGTATCTGCTATACCGTGTTGCTTCATTCTTGTCGGAGTCTTAATAATTAGTTGCATTTTTTATTCACAGATAAGGTAGAGTTTGACTTCTTTCTTTAAAGTAAATGTTGTGGAGAGCTGCTAATTGAAGTTGTTAAAATCTGTGATTTCAGCTCTATTGTGACAAGGAGAGACTCATAGGTGATCAGTTTGAGCAGTTGAAGGCGCATGTTGATATTGGTGATATACTAGGTGCAAGAGGAATAGTAAAACGCACAGAAAAAGGTATTTTATCTAAGAGGCATCTTAAATGGATTTTCCTTTTCTTTTGAGGGAAAAAATTGATTTTTATTAAATTAATATGGCTTGCATTTGCATCACGTTATGTATTACCTCAATGTGAACAAAGGTTGTGAGCTTGCAGTAATTCTATGACTTGTATGCTTGTAACTTGTAAGTTGATGTGCATGTGCCCTTGTTTTGGTTATGTATATGTACAATTAGATACTGAAAGTTTGCTGCTGAAATTATGTATACAAACTCTAGTATATCACTGAATACGAGAGTTTAATGACATTATATTTTTTAGAATTGTTTTTCTCTTTAGGTAAAAGAAGGTTAGCTTATTATCATTGTGTTTACTCCAACTGGAAATCTCATGATGTCTTTAGTTTGATAAAACCAAACAATGCTTGTATGAGAATTTCTTTTGTGCATAGATATTCTAATAGTTGTCGTAATACATTCAACTAGAGCTTGCTCAGCCATCACTGGCTTCATTTTCTTTTCCCTTGTGAGCATCAATCTACCGCAGATTTCTATGATATGTGCAAACACTTCAAAAAGTGACTTGGAACTTGTAGAAAATCTGAAGATTATTTCCATTTATTAAGAGAGTTTGTCAAATCCCTAATTGATAGGATTCAATCAATTAGGATCAATTTTATTTCCATTTTTATTTTGGATTGATTAGTTTCCTTTTTCTTATTTTATTTTCTTTTTGAATCACATATGGTGTGTATTTATGTATGTATCCTCTTCTTATTGCAATACAATTCTATGAAACCTTTTCTTTTTAGAATTCTCACATGGTATCAAGAGCCAATATGATCCCATAAACCATCTGCCCCTGTCACCGTTGAAAGGAAGCACGTTCATGCGCCGCCATGCCGGAGGAATTTTTTACCGCCATTTGTGTCATTCAAATCGTCGGCTCCTCCTCTTTCAGTTCAAGGTGTCAAAACTGAGTTTGGAGCTAGATGAATTTTGGGTCATTCCGCACATCTCATGCTTATTCAATGACTTCATCCCTAAACACTTCTGCTTCGTCTCCTAACCTTAATTTGCAGTACTCTGGAGATAATTTTGGGCTCCAAATTACCAGTCACCGATTAAATGGCAAAAGCTTTCTACAGAACTAGTTATAATAGTGGCAAATTGATTACCATATAGTTATCACCTTTTAAGATTGATATCCTTTCTCTGCTGGGACAAATATGCCCTTAGACAAATGTCATAGATAATTCTTAATTTTCCTTTGCCTTTGATTACTTTTGGTCTGCTTCTAGGATACCTTTCTACGGTTGCTTATATGTTGGTCTGGATTTTTAATTGATTATCATTCATGGATAAAAGGGGAACCATGGCTTCAATTAAGATTTTGGAATCTTTTTTCTCAAAAAATTGAAATAAAAAAGTTGGCATTTAGAGAACTGTGTGATGTATTAATATCAGATAGGCAAGTAAATATTGCAATAAAATGAACCAAGTGATTCCGACAAAAAGAACATATGTAATGTGTAAAAAAAAAATGCTCTAAAGCAAAGCATAACAATCTCCCCCTCCCTGAAATAGTCCTTAATTTTTAAATATGGAATGAAAGCATCAATGAAATGATACTTTCAAAATATGAATTTCTATTCAGTGTCGTGATTAAGCTTTGTTTGATTAAATCACTATTTACCAAATTGCCAATGGAGTGTAGAGCAAGTACTTTGAAAGTATGATGGCCTACTAAGAACTAGAACTGGAAACAAACAGCAAACAGTCCTCTTTTAAGATGCATCATTGCACATAAGTTAAAATTACACTTGTGAAAGATAACTGATAAGAAACTTAACAATATAAAATCTGTAGAAACTGCTTAACATACATTGATATTTCTGATCTTGTGACTCCCGGTTCTGTGTGAAAAATGCATTTTTTTTTCTTTCTGAAAAAGCCTATCTCTTTAAGCTTGAGAAAGTTGGTCCATGACACGTTAGTTTGTTTCTATTTGTTGTTTGTGGTAATTCAACTCAAAACAAGAACTTAAATGTGGAATCTAGGAGACACATTAACAATTGAAATTCAAACTCTTGATAGTGTTTAATGCTTTAATAGATGTGTTGACCTCTGCCAATTATGTTTTTAATACCGATGTTAGTCATGCATATGTTTATGCCAAATCATTTTATTAGCAGTTTTGGCAGCTCACTCTAGCTTTAATTGTGTCAGTTTTGAAAGTATTTCCGTAATCATTAAATGAATTACAAGGTGTTTGAGGTTTTGCCGAACTTTGCAATTACGAACCACAAGTGTGTAACCAATATTATCATTGATTTTAGAAATTGGGAATCATGTTTTCATTTCCGATATTGAGTGGAAATTTCAGAAATATGAATTGAAGGTCTTGGCCTTATCCATTGCTAGTCTTTGCATATTACAGTCTTAAGTTAATTCTGTTATGTTGTTACGTGTATTGATTGAGAGAAAAATATTTCACTTTTAACTGCAAAAAGAAGCTTTTGGAGGAGTTTAAGAGGTTTTTTTTGAGCTGTTAGTTCTGTTGTTTCCATGCATAGTTTCCTTCTTTCTGGATCTACTGTCTTCTCTAAAGTTGGAGTTCTTAGATTGTATTAATTTTCGGGTTCTTGCCAACTAGTTGTAACCTTTACTTATAATTAGTTTAAATAATTTTAAATGGGTGAATTAAGCAAGATAGCCAACCTTTTTTTATTTATTTATACAATGAAGGTAAAATTCGTATTATTGGAAAGTGAATGCAGTAAAGAAATTTTCATCTCACTTCCAAGAAATCTAGAAAACTAGAAAAGCACTAAATAATAAAATAGTGACTAATTAACCGTACTCCATGCTTGGATTTCATCTTGAAGGTCTTTCAAAAATATCTTGTTCCTATTGAATGTGATCTTAGATTGTTGCTTTTCTTACCATTTTTTATATGTAGTAAAAATTCAAAAAGTGAAAAAAGAGGTGGGGCGGTCTGCTGAAATTTCCTTTTATTATAGTCTTACCACCTTCTCATGTTTTTCTTGACTTACTTCAGGAGAACTTTCTGTGTGTGTGCTATCTTTGGCAATCCTCACAAAATCTCTGCTTCCACTGCCCGACAAATATCATGGTCTAACTGATATAGATAAACGTTATCGCCAGAGGTATGCTCATTCTTTAATATTTTGTGTTTGTTTCTTTTTTTTACTTATTGAAGTTACTGTCATATACTAATGCATTTAGTATTTTATTAGTGATATTGTACATGACTACAATTCTTCTATACTAGGATTTTTTCCCTAGTTTATTCTATTTTTGTAGTAGGTGATCAAATCTATTTGAAAAGTAGGATTGTATTATGTGAAAATTGTGTATTATAACTGTACAAGAGCTCTCTATTTAAAGAGACTAAATGACCTAATGGGCTAAGCCCAAAGAAGATTCTAGAATACAGCTCTCTATTTAAAATAAAATAATATTACTATTTACAACAAATCTCATGTTCTTCTTTCTTTCTCGTCTCTAATAAATATTTTCCTCTATCAAAATTTTTTTAATGGTCTTTTGATTTTTTTCTTATTTTGTGAAGTATAACTTATTTCTTGTTCATTCATTTTGTTGTTGTTGTGTTATTTATATTTCTTATTCCTTCTTTTCTTCCACATCATCTCTGATTATCCCTTTCACCCTTGGACTTAAACTTGGCTAGCCCTTGTTTTCAAATGTTTTTTTCATGTTTGTTGTGGACTTGTGTTTAGGTATGTAGATATGATTGCAAATCCAGAGGTAGCAGATGTATTCCGTAAAAGAGCAAAGGTGGTTTATCTTCCAAACAATTTTTTTCTTAAGACAAATCTTGCTCAATTGTTTTGGATTTAATATAAAAAAATATAATTTAATGTAGATTCAGAAAGTTTATTTTATCTGGCTATTTTCCTGTTGCCAGGCCTCTTAATTGGGTTATAATCATGGTCGTCAAATTCGAGGTCCTACCTAGGATTGAAAGGGGGAGGGGAACACATAAATTGTGAGATCGTAACTTATATCCTAAGATCCCACCTAAGATACACAATTGTATTCAAACATATATATTATGCATATAAAATAACATAAATAAGATAAATAACCTTTAAATCACTAGTAAAATTTACATCATCAACACCACCTTTATATATCAGACTCACCCAGTACATGTGCCTGTGGACATCTTTGTTATTTTATTATTATCCTTCAAGTCTTGAACTAGTATGATTTATTCAAGATAAAAGTAATCCTTGTATTGTTTAGATTTTGGGTTTTCTAATTGTATTTGAATAAAGATGTATTTGGATATTTCTATAGGATTGTATAACTGAATGATGTAGCCTATGCTTATAACCACTTAGATGTTTACTAATACGAGAACAGTCTGTATCCATAGGACCATGACAGCTATCATGTTGTCTGGTGCAGAATTTTGGTTGAATGGCCATGCTCTTTATGTCTGGGCTTTGGGGTTGTAATACATTATCACATGTGTCAACATTTTCTTTTTCTTGCATTCTTGTTGCTATAAAGTTAAATTTTTTTCTGTGTTTTTATTACATATATTATTAATGGAGTTGATTTTAAAGAAGATCTTGGAATTTGGGTTTTAGAGATTGTAGCGTTTCATTCTGTGCTTCTCTCAGACAGATTGATTAATAAAAATATACTTCTCCATTTATTTAGTGCCTGAGCAAATAGCTTCTATTTCCATTAATGTTCTAATCAATTCCATTCAAATAGGTTGTATCCCAGATACGGAGGACAATGGATTCTTTAGGTTTTGTTGAAGTAGAAACTCCAGTTTTGCAGGTTTGTTGATTTTAATGTACCTACACAATTTTTCTATATAAAAAATTACCTTCACAGGCTAGCAGTTTATGTTATCTTCTTATATATGCATTATACTGGATCTGTTGAAAGTGAGATTGATATAGGAATTATAAGATTGCAATTAAATTTGACCGTGACACTTGTCTTATCCTGTTGATAGGTCATTGTCGGATGTAATTTTAACATAGCTAACTATTTGTGTATAAGTGTGATAGGAATTAAGAACCACTTGAGTAAATAAGAGAAAGTGAAAGAGAAGCTAAGAGAGAAACAGTGTGTTTTCTATACTGTAACTAGTGTGGGATTTAGCCCATTTATCACGCTATTGATATAATTAAAAGAGGATACAAAAGGTGAAAACATAAGTTAATGGATAATTTGTTTAACCATCAATGTAATGTAAGAGAACAAGATAAGAGCAAAGCTACAGAACCAGAGAGGTAGATTGCTTTGACACTTGATCATAAGCCTCTTTAAATATATATAGTGCATTTTTATTTAGTTTGATACTATTTGAAGTTTATCCCATGTTTTTTTTCGTATTTCTAGTATTCGAGGGTCTGCCCTTGATATTTGGGTCACTTTTTATATATGCAATGCACATTTTCAATACTTGCTAGTCATTTTATATTGTTAATTTAAAAAAATAAATTTTTAATTTAATGTTTCAAAATGGGCTCAATATCATGCAGCGTGAATCAAATAGAGTACAAGTTATACTATGCACGGGTCGCTTAAATCAAATATATATGATTATATTTTTTATTTAATGGATAAATATTAAGTGCATATTTGAATAATTTATTTTGTTTCAAGAAAACTTTATAGACAAAATATTTTATATATAATGTTTAGTTAAAAGTGTTAAACATACTTCTCAAAGTATAAGAGATACTCATTTTTAAAATTTGATAATATTATATGATTTGGTTTTTTTTTTTTTTTTTGTAACAATATTTACATGTACTTTTAAAAATTTTATACATAATTTAAATGAGAAAATGTTATTTTATTTATTTTCACATGTTAATTGAATTCTTTTATGGCTTGAAAAATATTTATAATTGTTACTAATATCTTCTTTTTTATTGAAAAAAATAATTTTCTAAATACATCTTAATTACATTTTGATAACTTTTCTTTATAGGCATTATATATTAACAAAAATCTTTGTTTACTATGTTATCTCATATTTACAAAATTGCTGACGCATCTTATGCTAATATTAGTAGTATAAAACACTATAAACAAAATAGAAATATATCATCAATGAAATATACATAAAATAAATAAAATAATAATTTCATTGGAATATTATTTTCTTAGCTCAGGAGAGGACCCACTATAAAAGTAGGCCTTGGGAAAGCCCTCGTGGAGGAGGGGAATGCAATGGAAAAAGGACAGTGTATTGCAAGATTAGAAATTGCATATTGTTATTGCATTTTCAAGCTCTATTAACAGAGTTGTCACATGGTGAATTCAAATATTCTTATCATTAAAACTTGCAAGATTAAGATTAAAAGAAATAGACTTTATAAAAATGTTAGAGAATAACATTTTTGCGGCATTTTAATAATGTATTTGTATTAAATATGTATCTTTTTTTTTTGTATATAACATAGAGGTATCCCCTCTCAACCTCCTCCGGCCACCTTGTCCTAGGAGTACGACCCTAAGACTAACTCCTCATTGGAACATAGGGTGTAATGGATCACTGTCACCAGAGGAAGGGTGAGACTAATCCCCATCCGTGGGGGGAGTGGCTGGCCCCGAAAGGATTCCAAGAATTGCTTTGGCCAAGGTTCGAACCCTGGACAAAGCAACCCTGGACGCTCTGCTTTTCCAACTGAGCTACCCTTAGAGGTTAATATGTATCTTTTTTAAGTTATTAAAAAAGTTACACTTTGATTGCTACTTTAAAAAATAAAAAATTGAAAGGTTAGAATAGATGAAAGGTCAAGAAAGATATAAATAAAAGACATGAAAAGTTAAAAATTAAAAAATTGGTTATATAATAAAAAAATGAAATTTAAAAAATAGCCACATGGCAATAGTAGTGGAAGAATTTTTGTATTATATGAAACTGAATTACTGAGCAAACCTAATAGGTTTTGGTTACATTTAAAAATTAGGCATAAGGTTATCAGCAAACCATGGCCATTGCCCATCAGAATTTGATTTGAACCATTAAGGGCAGTGTTTTGAAGTAAATTCTGTGGATCGACAGTCACATGGTGTGTACCACCAGAATCAAGGTACGGAGCTTGAATGTTGAAGTCTCCAGATGTAGTCAGTGGAGCCTTAGGTGTCTGCGACATTGTACTTGAGCCAGATGAAAATTGCAGAGGCATAGGACCAAGCTGTGATCCAGATGAGTGATTAAATTGATGACCAGTAGGTGCACCAGGTTTAGTGAACCGAGATGCAATGATGGAATAATGTAATAACCTAAAGGAGATTGAGTTGGTAGATACAGAGGTGGCGTGAGTGGAAGTTAAGGCATAGATGAAGCCCATGAATGCCAAGAATGTGTAGGTGAGAGCACAAATGGAGAAGCTTGGGTGCTGAGATTGATTTTGGAGGAGGCAGATGATAACAACTTGATCATCATGATCAAACTTATTGCAAAGATGACATTGGAACCACTATGATATCCTGTGTGTCCTCCTCTGCCTCTGGACCCTGACCAAAACAATTATCACTGTGCCCATGAGAGAACATCTCCTGAGTAGGGCTGGGAATATGGAAAGCCAAGATCAGGTCCATAACCAAACTGAGATTGATTCTGTGGATCAGAATTCACAGTCGGAGCTGGCGAAGAAGCTTGAGTAGTTGTAGAGGACTGAATTTCAAATCGACATAACTCTCCTCGGGAGTGGCATGAGCAACATTCAGACAGTGGATCAGATACAGTTGCTTGTTGATGCTTATTGATTTAAGCTTCCTGTGAAAGCAGCAAGGCCTCAATATCAACGACGCTGTAGGGATCTAGGCGACTTCTTATCGAAGTCACAAATGCTTCATACTCTCCTTGGGAAGACGATATCAATGATGCTGTAGGGATCTAGGGGACTGTTTATCGAAGTCACAAATGCTTCATACTCCTTGGGAAGACCTTTTGAGGATGACATTTATTTGGTCCTGCATGGAAACTTGAACTCCAATCAAAATCAAAGAAGCTATGGGATTTGATGTGAAGCAGGTACTTGGAGATTGTGCAACCTCCTTTCTTGGTGGTGCGCAACTCAGAAAGAAGTTGATGAGCTTTGGCTTGCAAGTAGAAAATATGAATTTCTTAGTTGCTAGGAATGAATGCAAATAACAACTCATGCAAGCAGCGACTCAGAGAGAGATGATTAGCCATGAGAACATGTTGTCTTGTTGCTTCCATTGGAGATAGGCTTCGCTCACACATCTGTGTTCCCGATACTCCTCTGCGGCAAATGTCAACAGAATCTCTGGATTCATGTAATACTGGTGCCAGCAATGAGCATTGATTATACAGCCTTGACTTGTTATTTCCAGAAAAGGAAGTTCTTCTCATCAAGGTGAGCAGATATCGAAGGTGAAAAATCATCAGGACCAGAGGATGGAGTCATAACTGGAGGTGGACCAGAATTGTGGAATGGATTTAGAGGAGAGGAGGCCATGGATTCAGGATTGAAAAGAAGCTCTTTATACAATGATAGAAATTAAGAACCACCAAGAAACTGAGAGAATAAGAGAAAAGAGAAGGTAAGAGAGAGAAACCTAGTGTTTTCTATTCTGTAATTGTAACTGAAAAACTGAACCAAACTAACAGGTTCTGGTTACGTTCATAGTTTGGATGTCACTCAGATTCCTAACTGAATACGAACCATTCTAACTACTTGTCAGTGAGGCTGATAGCTGGGCGTAACAGTATAGCAGATAACTACGTAACTACTGCCCTGCTGAGCAGAGCTGAGTATTACTCATAACAAAGTGCAACCCAATTCACCCTATATTTTTGCCTATCTCCTGATTTTATCGGATTCCTTGTCATTCAATTCACTACTAAACCATTGGTGGTAACTATATTGATGCTACCGTTAATTACTTATCCAGTAGCCATTTGGTTTAGAAATTTATTTTGCCACCTTCTATTTATGCGTGTTAGCTCCGCTGTTTGCTTCTGTTGTAATTCAGTACTTTACTTTTTCATTTAAAATATTACTGTGCGTTCAATGTAGTAATAAAATTATATAAAGTTTGTCAAAGCAGTAAGTGGATACCTTGCAAGTATAGGTCCTTGTATATAGATTATAGTCTTGGCTCTCAATAGCAACTGATAAGTGATGTAATTACTGTATGAAATATCTTCTTTTATCATTCTATTTATACGATTTATTAGGTGTCTGACACTTTGTACATGGAGGTTTTTTTCTGATTAGTTTTATTGACTAGGGAGCAGCTGGGGGAGCAGAAGCCAGACCATTTATTACATACCATAATTCTCTTGGAAGGGACTTATATCTGAGAATTGCAACTGAACTGCATCTAAAGAGAATGCTGGTGAGATCTGAAATATTTGTCATTTGCGAGGTCCTTGTTTGGCCTACATACAAACAAGAGCTTACAATAGCTTTCAATTTTTTAATTTTTTAATTTTTGCAAGGGAGGGATATACTGAGGAATTAGTAAAGATATGCTATATTTAACAAAGAAGGAAAATATATTTAGTATTCACCCTGAATGTAGTGCAAAAGAATAAGATTACTAGTCATGATCTTGTTTCTTTTATGAAATATTGAAAATTATTTGCTTATCCTGAAATATTGCTCTGTGCTTATGGTACTAATTATTAGAATGCTATATTTTCTGTTAAAGGAGATTTTCATATATTTTCTGTTTGTCTTGAACGTGGCACAGATGTGACCTTTTCAAGCTATGAATTTGAAATTGGATAGACAAACAAAGATGTTCTTGATTTTGTCCAGCTGTTAACCATTTTAATGTTTTTATTCATGACAGGTGGGTGGGTTTGAAAAAGTATACGAGATTGGTCGAATATTTAGAAATGAAGGAATTTCAACTCGTCATAATCCTGAATTCACAACTATAGAGGTAAATTATTTAGTTAATTAGTTTACATTTAGGAGGCGAATTTTATAGGCTTCTAATTCTATTATTTTCATTGGATATTATTATTTTGGATATCATGCTTTGTTGACCATCTTTACATAGCCAGTCCCAAGCGCAGTAAAAAAGGGTTGTGTTAAGTAGTTGACAACCAAACATAAAACTTTCAAATCCTGACATGGATCAACAATTGTTGTTTTGAATGTACTGAGAGTTTTTAAGTCAGTTTCAATGCTTGGTAAGGGCATATATTATGTTTCCCCAATTCCCGTCATAGCATAAGCTTTCAAGCTAGTTGCTTTAACAATGATTGCAGGATATTTTAATTTGCATTTTTGTGTAGTTGATAATTCTCATTATATCTTGAATTACATTCTGCTGTGTATTGATAATATTAGTTAAATTTTAGATGTATGAAGCATACTCGGACTACCAAAGTATGATGAATATGGCAGAGGAGATCGTTATTCAATGTGCTCTTGCAGTCCATGGGAAGCTTACCATTGATTATCAGGTAGACACTGTTCTTACTAAAAATTACCTAGAATTTTATTGATGCCTAAAGTGCTGAGATTAGGAACTAGAAGGGTTCAGTGTCTCTTGCTAGAAGGGGTCAGACTCTCTTAAAGTTGGTGTAATGATTACATGCAGGGAGTCGAGATATGTCTGGAGAGACCTTGGAGGAGGGAGACCATGCACAACCTTGTTAAAGAAACTGCAGGGATTGATTTCAATGAATTGGGAAATGATCTTGAGGTTGCAAAGCAAGTTACTCTGGGTACCCTTGGAAATAATATTGATAACAAGGATAAAGCTTCCATTGAAGCATGCCAATCTGTTGGCCACCTCCTTAATGAGGTTGATTGGCTTTTTCTTCCTCTGTCATATTTGCATCCATTTTATTTTTATTTTTTCATTTTATTTGATAGAGTTGGTTATCTTTGCAAATAATCACACTTATTCTTTTGAGGTGATGTCTATATATTGACACTCCTTTCTGGCTGCACCTTTTGAATTTGTTATATTGTCAATTCGACTTGCGTACACTAAGCAGTTTGTTTTTGTTTCGTTTGTTTAGGTTTTTGAGATTGTTGTAGAACCACAGCTCATCCAACCTACATTTGTTTTAGACTATCCAATTGAGATATCTCCACTGGCTAAACCCCACCGAAGGTAGAAACATAGAAAATATTGAATAATTCTATTTTCTGTTATTAAATGCATTTCGACCCAAAGTACTATGAAGTATTTATCTGTTAGGGACTTAGGGCTTAGAATGCATAAAGGGTATAAACATTCTTTTAGAACTTTATAATACTTAATGAAGTTAATATTTATGTTATCATTTGCCTTCTTTTTCAACACAGCAGTCAAATTATCCAGTCCATTCAGGCAGTTATTCCTACATTATCATTATCATTATCCTTTATTCTTGTATTGTCATTATAATTGTTTTAATGGCACTTGAAATGCTTCCCATAATCGTCCTGCCCTTGAACAATCCCCTTGTTCCCTCATGATATTGGCATCAATTCTGCAAAGGTTATGAATATATGAAAAGATAAACTCGTTATGGACTTTCTCGGTTTATGATTTCAAGATTTATATTGAAGTCTAAGAGTAAGACGCTATTCTTTTCCTTTCTTCCTGTGGCTTACCTTTGTGAAAGAATTCTTGATAATCATGTTTTACTATATATTTTCTGGCATGAAGTGATAAAATTTATTGTAAAAATACATCATAAGCAAACTCAATAATAATGTAGGATAAACATTTCTTGTTTCTAGACAGTATCTTCAATCTTACACTTAATCCTCCATTAGATCCACAGGTTTGACTGAGAGATTTGAACTTTTCATTTGTGGTCGTGAGCTAGGCAATGCATTCTCTGAATTGACTGATCCTATAGATCAGGTAAGTTTCCAAAGGTTTTAAACTTTTCATATTCAGGCTGCATACCTCGTGTAGATTTTGCCGAACATAAATTAAATATAATGTGTTTGTCATCACTGACTATACGATACTATTCTCTGTAAGTTATGAAGTATCTTGTTAGTTCAGAAGATTATTTATCTTGTTTTTTGTTGTATTTGCAATAACACCTTAACAAGATAGATGACTTATTCCATAACAAATTAAGCATCATTTATGAAAATCTATTGACGTATCAGCTGGCAAATGAGTCAAACTTTGTGTTGTATTATAATTAAACCGGTGCATATACTAGAAATAGACGATGGGGCTCTATTAACTTCTATGGAAAAGGAATGACGTCTAGTGATTGTTTATGGACAATTAATGTCAACTCTGTCTCAAGTTAACTCTTGAAGAGTGAGTAGTTTTATGATTTTATGATCAACAAAATGGTTGCAATTATTGTACTCTGGCAGAGAGGACGCTTAGAGGATCAAATTAGACAGCATGAAAAGAAGAAAGCAGAAGCTGTTTCAACAAATGGTGATAAAAAGGAAGCAACGGAAAATGAGGATGACATGTATGAAGTGACTCTTGATGATGACTTTTTAACAGCTTTGGAATACGGAATGCCTCCAGCTTCTGGAATGGTATCATAATCAGTTTGCATTTCCTTGTATATTTGTGGGACTATGCTAGATGAGAATGAATACTTGTTTTTGTTATTAACATTGTTTGAAAGCACTGATTTTGTCCAATGCAATCCACAATTCTCGTCTTGAAATCAATTTTGATAACAAAAGTCAAATTCCTATACTCGTGTCTTTTTTGAAAAGGAAAGTTCATTTTAAATGACAATCATTTAAGTTCATTTTAAAATATTAATTTCATAAATACTGAGCATTGTAAGGCCAAATCGTGATTTTCGTTTTATGTACTTTCGTATCTAATTTTTATCTGTGCATTTTTGTTTGAGCGTGTTTCTGGTTTAACTGTAATTTATTGAATTTCATATTGAATAACATAAGACATATCAATTATGAAGTACTAATGGAATTTTTATGCATGTGTATGTAGATGAACCAAAATGCATGTGTATTAATGATATAATAAGTATAATAATTAGTTATCATGGTGTGTGCAAGTTAATGTTTTAATTTTTCAGTATTATGATTTTAGTTGTGTTGCATTATTTATCCCACAAACAGTGCAATAGCAAACTGTTTTTTATGTCTGCTGTAGCTTTTGTCAGAGATTTTATTTGCTGCTTTTTAATTGCCATTTACAAAAAGGATATTCTTTCCAGGGACTTGGAATTGACAGGCTCGTGATGCTTCTGACAAATTCTCTTAGTATTCGTGATGTAATCGCCTTCCCAGTGCTCAAGGTTCAGCAATAGTGATACATTTGCAGATTAGCAGTTAATCTAATCGTGCTCTCCATCATTCATCATTCACTATGTAGCCTTCATTACATTTTGATTCTTTGTGTACCACCTAGAACCTGAGAAGATTAATACAGAGCAATATGAATGCAAAGGTTTATTCCTGATTTTTTGGTAATAGAAAATTACTTCTTAGTTTCATTATGTTGTTGGCTCCTATAGTTTTTACTTACTTTCTATATTCGTTTATGTAGTTTTAAAGTTTCTATTTCTAATTGCAGTCTTACATGTACAATGTGGTTTTAATGTGAGGCTCAATTGAGGATAACCTGTAGATACTCTTATTGAATTGGAAAATGATGGGTAGATGTTGTAATTAGAGATGTAAATGGGTCATGCGGCCTATGAGGTGCTTACGGTCTGGCGTAATTTGGCCTATTCTATTTTCTAATTAGAGCATGTATAATGTATAGGCTTTTAAAATTTTCATTTAAAAATTAGGCCATATGACTCACTTTACAAAGTCTGACCTAAAAGTCTGGGTTGAGTCTGGCAAGATCAACCTGTCAAAACGGGACAGGTTGGTTAAGATTTTCAATCCACCAATCCATTTCAACCTGCCCCGCCTAGAAGTGGGTCAAAAAGGGTTCAACTCGTCCCGCGACGGGTTGAATCATCGAGTTATAATTTTTTTATTTTTTACAATTAGGTAGTATTTCATTTGTCATTAAATTTGTGATATTCAAAAAAAATTTATCTTAGTACTTCCTAGAAAAAATAAAGAATAACAATTTTATTTATGACAAATGTTATTTATATATGGAGACAAATGAGTTTCTAAAGAATGTTTGACAAATTTTAGTATACATTTAAGATTGAGACTGAGAAAAATTAAGAGAAGTGTGAAATAAAATAAAATAATATTAGAAAAATTTATAAGATATAATTTATTTTTAAATTTTAATTAATTTTTTTTTGAATTGGTGGGTTGGTGGGTTGACGGGTCAACCCGTCAACCCATCATAAAACAGGATGAGTTCATTTTTTCAACCTTTATTTAATAGCGGGCCAACACGTCCTATCCTATTTTTGGCGGGTTGGGGTTAGCCAATCCAAATTGTCACCCCTATCTTTAATAGGTTAATAGGTTAGTATAAGTTCTAAATATTTTAATTAGGTTTTAGGCTATCAAAGTCATAATTTGACCTAATTTAATTTATTTACACCCCTAATTGTAAGACTTTATCTTCATGGACTAGACACCGCCAAATTGATCGTTAAAGCTTATGTTTTTTCAGGAATAACAATTGTGGATCATTAATCGGCTAATGTTTTTCAAAGCTCATTAATTGATTGAGTGAGTTACACTAATCGATTACTCGTGAGAATGATTCAGATTTGATGGAATCGATCAATCAACTAAAACAATATTGAATATGAAATTTCTCAATATGAGGTGCTTGTATTGTAAGGTTAGAGAAACTGAATAATTTGGTTTTGACACATTGTGCTGATCTATTGGACCCCTGGTTTATTTCAATGATTAAGTCTGATAAACTTTTAGGTATATTATTTGTCCTATCAATCAAATAACTTCTAATAAGACAAAATCATGTCTAGAAGACTAAACAGATAGGTCATGTTTGGTACGATGTATTAGAGATGATAGTATAAAATTATACTATATATTATAACATTTTTAGTTGTTTAGTGTGATCATCGTATATAGAGGTGGTAATATGGGTTGAACCTTACGGGTAAACCTGTCAACCTGCCAAAACGAGGTGGGTTGGGTTACATATCTCAACCCATCAACCCGCCCTACTGGGTTGTGGGTCAAAATGGGTTAGCGGCGGATTGGCCCGTTGTGTCAATTTTTTCTTTTTTTTCATATTAGGTAGTATTTTATTTGTCATTACATTTTTGTGATATCCAATTTTTTTTATCTTAGTCCTCCCCTAAAAGAAAAAGAAGAAAATTTGTATTTATGACAAAAGTTATCCATATATAGAGGTAAAAATGAGTTCCTAAAGAATGTTGACTGAATAGTAATATACATTTACAATTAAAATTGAAAAAAATTAAGAGGAGTGAGAAATGAAATTATGTAATATTAAAAATTTATAAGATAATTTATTTTTGAATTTTAACGAGGTGGGTTGAATTTTTGAACCACATTCAAAGGTGGGTCAACTTGTCCTGCCCCGTTTTTGGCAAGTTGGTAACGGGTCAACTCATATTGCCACCTCTAATCGTATAATTTATATAGCAGAACCCCTTAATTCATCAAAATAATGTGTAACTTAATCAGGCCTAGGGTTTTGGTACACAATATAGGATAAGGCCAGATAGTATAATACTTGATTGTATATGGTCTGATTAAATTTTAATATTATCCAGCATTTGACATGGTATTATATAAGATAATATATTATATAAGATAATATCATCCAGTTAGGGGTGTTTGCGGTCTGAATTGGATCGGTTTTGGAAGCAAAAATCATCTGATCCAATCCCTTCTGTTTAATGATGTAATCATCCATTCGGTTTGGATTTTTTTTTCAAATTCGATCCGATCCAATTTTTTTCGATTTGGATTGGATTGGTTTTCGATTTTTGAAAAAGCCTAAAATTTGTTTCATGATTATTGTGCAAATAACATATCTTTAGATATATTGGCTCGTAAAGTTTTTTTTTTTTAAATACAGAAACATCAGTAAACGATAATATAGTTTTTTTTAGGTAATGAGATATGAAATTTTACTGATGAGATGTGGCTAGGTTTTTTCTTGAGCTTAGTTGATGGGTTCATGGGTCTTAGGTTTATAATTTTTTGGACTATGATTGGGGAAAGACCCAAGTAGGTAAATGAGAATTAATATATTGGATCGGTTTGGATTGAATCGGCTTTCATCAACCAAACCGAAATCCAATCTAATCCAATTAAAATTTGTGATTTTTTTTATTTTTGATTTATTTGATTATCGATTTTTCAGTTCAGGTATCCCGGTTTGAATCGGTTTGGATCGGTTGATGAATACACATACATTCAGTATTTGGTAATCCATTGTATAATATTAGATAGGATAAAAATAAATATTTTTGACAAAAATATCTTTTAATAAATAATTAATATTATTCTTCCAAAATGTCATATGATATTAGTTTTTATAGAAATCAATTGATAAGTGTGTCCAAAAAATATATTAATTTTTATAAAAATCTAAATCTCCAATATTTTAAAAATTTATATATTGAAAAATTATTTTTTATTTTAATATATTAATATAGAATAATGCATATTGAGAATTGCACTAGTTAATATATCAATCCTTTATCTGGCCTAATCCCACCCTCTAGGCTTGACTAAGTTATACATAATTTTGATATATAAATGGATTCTACTGTATAAGCTTATACTATACGATGATCATACCAAATAACTAAAAATATTATAATATATAGTAAAAACTTATACTATCAGGTCTTATACATTACACCAAACAAGCCCTAAGGGATGATATTAGACCTTATAAGGGGTTGATGTGTTAAAATTGCTGACCAGTACAATTCTCAAGAATTAATATATTATTTCAATATTAATATATTAAAATAAAAAATAATTCTTTAATATATTAATTTTTATAATATTAGAGATTTTAATTTTTATAAAATTTAATGTATCTTTTTTGGACACATTGGTCAATAGATTTTTATAAAAGTTAATATCATGTGATATATTTGAAATAATTATATAAATTCTTTATTAAAGGGTACTCTTGTAAAAAATATTTATTTTTATCCTATCTAGTGTTATATAGTATATTATCAAATATTGAATGATATTATCTTATATAATATATTATTTTAAAATTTTAATCAAATCTTATACAATCAGACCGTATACTGTACACCAAATATTCCTTAAGTGAATTTGCATTCTTCTAAATGAGCTTCTGCCATTGCAAAAAAGCAATTTAAGCATTGAAATTGATTTTACGTTCTCAAATAATGCTTTATCCCATTAAAAATATCTCCTAAACAATTATAATTCAATTAACATGTTCATCGACTAATTTGCTGACTTCTTTTTTTCAAAAAAAATGGTAATAAAGATGTGTTATTAATTAATTCTAAGTTAAAATATATTTTTAATTCCTATATGTAATATCATTTTTAATTTGATTTTATATGAAATCATATTTTATTTGATCATGTAATTTATAATTGTTATTATATAATTTTTTAAATGATAACACAATAAATTATAAGGATAAAGTTAGAAATGAGTCTCAGGCACATATCTCAGAGTTAGATTCTTACTCAATCGTTTACTGAGAATGTGGAATATCTCAGGCACATATGAGTTCATTGATCTGGAGAATGACTTCTTTTTGTTCCGATTTTCAAATAAGAATGATTACTCTCATGTTTTGGAGGATGGTCCTTGGATCATAGCTGATCATTATGTGGTAGTTCAACGGTGGCGTCCATTTTTTAATCCTTATGATGATGAGATCAGAAAGCTGGCAGTTTGGATTCGTATTCCAGGACTTCCTATTGAATTCTATACCTCTCATCATTTGTGGAATATAGGTAGTATTTTTGGTCGCACATTGAAGATTGATAGGAACTCTATCAGGAAACGTGATTCTGGTGAAGGTGATATTACACAGAGAGCAAAGTTTGCTAGAATTTGTGTCGAAGTTGATCTTAGGAAAGGATTTTTGTCCAAATTCCGGATTGCTGATCGTATCTTCCATGTTGGATATGAGGGTCTCCACTTAGTTTGTTTTGCTTGTGGAAAGTATGGGCATAGAAGGGATCAGTGTTCCCATAGTAATCTTCAACAAGATACTACGGCTTATTCTCCTGAAGTTTCTGACTCGGTGGTGCATAAGCAGCCGGAAAAAGATTCTGTTCCGGCGAAGGAGGAACCGTTTGGGAATTGGATGCTAGTGCAGCGTAACCGTCGTTCAAGGAGCATAGCACAATCAAAGGAGGAATCAAGGAGCATAGCACAATCAAAGGAGGAATCATTACCATCGGGTAGGAGACAAGTTGGCGTTGTTAATAATGCAGCGTTACGTAATAAGGCAGTTTCCAATTCTCATCCTAATCACAGACAGGTCATTCAATCAGGTTCAAGATTTC